TTCCCTCGTAGATGACTTTCCCGTCCGAATAACCTAACTTCTGGCGGAAATATCGGTTTCTTCCCTACCGGACAGCCGTAAATCAGGATGAGGAAAACGAATCAAAACCACGGCGTAATCCAGAAGCGAGACCCGGCATGAAATTATTGAGCATTGTACCTTTTAAGTCAATATACATTAATATAAATTTTACGGTATAATGTTTTGACTTCAAATGTTTATTAAAAATCGGGACAAATTTTTAAAAATAAAAACGCCACGTGAATACCTCGGGACACTTATCTTATCCTTTAACGAATAAGGTATAATTTTTTTTAGATCGGATGATTTTTTGGACAGTTAGGATGTACACCGCAAACCAAACCAATAACTTCGGTACTTCTAAATATTTATATATATGGAAAATTTATCAAAAATGTTAAAAGATTGTGTTATTATTTGGTATTTAATCCATTAAGCTAACTTTAGCCGTTTGCCACAATCATTTGTTGAAAAGTCAGTTTTTTGCTGTCACCCAAACCGATGTTATCTTTGCAGATTTTAGCAAAGCCTTTGATTCGGTAAATCATTAGATACAGTTGAAAAAATGTAAATATGTTACATGTCGTTTTACCGCAGAAATTGTTTCCATGCCATCTATTCCATAGGGACGAGAGTTCATGAACGTATCCATTCTGTAACGGATCTTGGAGTTATATTTACCCACAACTTGAGCTTCACCGATCACATAGGTATAATTGTATGTAAAGCTAAAGGGGTTTTTGCCTTTGTAAAACGATGGTCTAAGGAATTTGATGATCCCTACGCCACAAAATTTCTATACATATCTCTGGTTCGGCCCATTCTCGAATATTGTTCGTGTGCACGTTCCCCCCAAAATACAAAGTATCAAGATCTTATTGAATCGGTACAGAAACCATTCTTTTTGTTCGCTCTTCGGGGCTTAGACTAGAACCCACTTCGTCGTCTTCTCTTAAGGATTGTCGGACCTGCCACGGCGTGATGTTCCTTCATAAACTGATCAATGGGTTTGAGTCAAATACGTTTCTCAGTTCCTTCAAGGCCATCACATTACTTTCGGCCTATAGCTTTGGATATTTGTAAAACAAATTTCGAGGCACATGATCCTTTTCGCGTTTTATGTTCGCTTTACAACAGGCTGTACTCCTTGTTGTATTTTGAAATGTCATTAGATTTTAATAAAAACAATATCTTAAGACACCTATCCTTGCCTCTGACCACCTGATGTGAGTCGGAGCATAACGTTAAAAAACACTACTTACCCGGTCAAAGGTAAGGATATAGATTTATAATGGCAGATATTTGCTATTCTTAAAATTAAATAAAATATCCATAGCGTGACAAAGCCTTCTCCATTGTTAATTTTTTGTTTTTTGACCAGTTGTATTTGTTCATAAATCACCTCTCCAGAACTTCTGCTTGTTCAACTGTTCAAGCGCATTTGCCTTTGGAATATGTGGCAAATCCTTAGCTCAGTGTCTGAAGCTCCTTTATTTTGCGCATAGTTTTATCAACGTTATATGAAGACTTTGAGCAGGACTTCTCTCAATATTTATACCAAGGTTTTGTCAAAATAATTGTGCCGACTAGTGTATTTTTGAGAGAAAGCGAGTGCGAGAGAGAGACTGATTAAAGTCAGTCAATGTGTTCCTATGACAATGCTCACAGGCTGCCTTCACATTTTTTGATGATAATGTGATTGAATTTTTTTTCTTCGCCAGAGACTTATAAAACAGGTCGACAAAATTTAAGAAAATCGCAGAATAAAGAACCGGAATATACTTTTTACAAGAATTTTTATGCACTGAAATCGAATCCGCGGAAAATTTCCTATACGTCAGGCTTTTGAGATACCGTTTTTTGGTACTTTTGAGTTGGAATTTGAGGTCAACAAGTTCAAGACCCTCCCCCCTCAAGTTTGGTGATGGACGAGGAGTGCCAGACTGGCCGCGGCATATCAATTAATGTTGTTACGGATAGAGGAGCGAATATTAAAAAGGCGTTGGTAAACAATATACGTTTAAATTGCAGCAGCCATTTTCTCGCCAATGTTTTACAAAAATCTTTTGAGCAAACAACCGAATTGGATGAAACCGTGCACGCTTGCAAGAAAATTTTAAAATATATCAAGGAGGCGAACTTGCAACACCGGCGTAACACCACAGTGAAAGGGGCATGCCCAACTCGCTGGAATTCTAATTATACCATGATGAAGTCTATTGTCGATAATTGGCTGACAATAACACAGTTGTTAAGCGAGTCTCCAGGAGCACAAAGACTTATGGACGTCAACATATCCATATTAAAGCCGTTGGTGGAGTTGCTGCAGCATTTTGAGCGGATTTTTAAAGAACTACAAACATGCAGCTTGCCGTCACTGTGTTTCGTGATACCCTCCATTTCCAAAATGTATGAACTTTGCGATGCAAATATTGACGATTTTTCATCAGTTGCCCTTTTGAAAGAAAATATAAAACAAAACGTCAATGAAATTTGGAAAAAAATGTGAGTGTATGGCATAAGGCTGCATTTTTTTGTATCCACCTGCAGCCCTCATGCAACAGGATGACCTAATTGAAATAAAATTATTCTGTGCTGATCAGATGGAAACACTCAATAGCTCTGTACTAAAAAATACAAATAGTTTTCCACCCTATGCAGAAAGCTCAAAGAGCCCAAACAATTTACTCAAAACTCAAGCTCAATCACCCGTTTCAAGAACATCATTTTTTTCCCGAAGTTAGTTGCCACATCTAATTCTAATTCGCGAGAATCTTTACTCGAAGAAAAAGAAAGATATTGCAAGGAAAGGGTACCAATAACCGAACATTTTGAAGCTATCGACTGGTGGAAAGCTAACGAGTTCAATTACCCTCGGTTGTCGAAGCTTGCCTTTACACCCCATGCGATACCTGCAAGCAGTCCCGCCGCTGAAAGGGTTTTTTCGTTGGCAGGCAATATTATCACAGAAAAACGAAATAGACTGTCTCCCAAATCTGTTGACAGTATACTATTTTTGCACTCGTTTTTAAAAAATATGAATATTTCCGAATTTTAACAAATGAAAAGGAAGAAGAAATGAAACAAAACAGGAAAGGAAGCTAACTTCGGCACGCCGAAGTTTGTATACCCTTGCAGATATTATTTCATTAAATTTTACCTATACATATTATGTTGAGAGTTTGACAGTTACAGTTTTACATTCCCAGTTTTACATTTTCTCTACATCTGCCGATCGGTTTATATGGCAGCTATATGATATAGTTGTCCGATTTTAATGAAATTTATACCAAAATTTTGAACTAATAAAATAAGCTTATATCTCAGAGAAGATAAAAATAGGTTGAAAAACAACGAAGTTATAATTATTTTTTATTAATTTCCCGATCGTTCCTATAAGATATAGTCGTCCGATTTTCATGAAATTAACACCAAAAATCTGAAATAGTATAAAATGACCGTATCTCATAAATGGTGCAAAAATGTTGAAAAACAGCCAAGTTATAATATTTTTCTAAAAATTGATCGAACATTTGTATGTCAGCTATATGATATAGTCGTCCGATCCGGCCCGTTCCGACATATATAGCAGTGAGAGTATATAGAAGACTATATGCAAAGTTTCATTCAGATAGCTTTAAAACTGAGGGACTAGTTTGCGTAGAAACGGACGGACAGACGGACATGGCTAGATCGACTCGGCTGTTGATGCTGATCAATAATATATATACTTTATAGGGTCGGAAAGGTCTCCTTCACTGCGTTGCAAACTTCTGACTAAAATTATAATACCCTGCAAGGGTATAAAAATGTAATGAAGTTATATGAACTAAAATATCAAATTGAAACTGAAAGGGAATATAGACTGAACTATGTACCATATGTATGTTAATATTTTTGGTTAATTAAAATAACAAGAAATCAGGAAATGTATACTGTATTTTTAATTTACTTTAATGTATTTTGGTTGTACCAGGTTGCAAAAGGAATCACAAAAATGAACTAGAGCATCTAGTCACCGGGTGTTGTTTTTGGCTCAAGTATTGTGTTCTCGCTTTTACTCACTTCTCTTTCGAGCATTTCTCGCTCAACTTCAACACACACGCCAAATCAAAATAAGACTCGCAGACGAACTACGCTTGTGTGCACAAATATCCGAGAATTATTGCCGAGTGTTTACTCGCACCCTATTCTCGTTGCCGAAAAATAACTCGAGTGTCAAAAATACTCGGTGTTTATCCGGTGGTCCGGTTGATCCAGTGGTTTGACGCCGCTCTCTGGTTCCTATACAAATTGATAAATAAACATATTTCTTCTCCCTGTTGGTTAAGTCAATTTAAATTCTCAGTCCCTTCAAGACCTTCTAGCACTTTCGGCCGATCGCTCTTGTTTTGTGTAAATCAAATTTCGAAATACATGATCCTTTCGTTTTATAGTGGTATAATTCATTTTTGTTACATGTTGAATTGTCCTTAGATCTTAACATAAAAATTGTATTAAGACAACTTTTCGGAGAATATCGATAAAAACACTCCCTACCCTATCAGAGGTAAGGATTTGCCTTTTAAATTGCAGAAATTAGCTTTTTTGGAAATAAATGTAGGAATTTAATATTCTATGCATTGTTTTATTGATGGATTTAGTTTAAACATAAAGTTCTTTCTTTTTGTTTTACACGAGCTATTATTTCACAACTTCCTTTCTCTCTCGCCTCTCTAGTGATTACCAAACTTCTTTATTCGCTTAATTCTCCGCATTGTTAATTATTATTATTATTTCTAATGGCGTTTTGATCTTGTGTTGCCAGATAGCTCAAACCGCTTTGAGTGTGCCGCGAAGGAAACCCGCCTGTTTCAAGTCCCACATAAATATAAATATAAATATATATATACTATATACATACACAATCATTCATAGATTATACACGTTCTGACTTATATTTATTAACCTCGTTTCTATTTTGTTCTTTTTCGAAACAGCCTTGTTGTCGGCAACTCTTCGCACGTATCAGAAGGCAGCATGCGATTCGGATCAGGTGGTAATAGCGTGTCCTCGCGGCACCAGCATCTCTATAGAATTTGCCCAGTACAACAAGTTCGTGGCGAAAGGTAATTTGTGTCAGAGATATGTACATATGTAGTATGTATCTCTTTAAGATAATTAAATATATATAAAGCAAATCTCTGTACCCTAGCAAGGTATTATAATTTTAGTCAGAAGTTCGCAACGCAGTGAAGGAGTCATTTCCGACCCTATAAAGTACAGTACCTATAAAGTATGTACTTATGTCGGTGGATGGAATATTCTGGTACATAGGAAATACTAATATCTTAGATCGAATTTCATTATCTTTTGATTTGCGTTTGTCGCTATTATTCTCTCTGTTACGCTTTTCTTGGTGGCATTAATCAAGAATGGTAACGGCACACAGATGCGTACGTTGCCGAGGGGAGTGAGTATTCGTTGATCGTCGCCGGAGTAAGGATTAAGGATCGGAACTCACTCCGCCCAAAATCGAATCCGAGCCCAATTCGACATCGAAAGAGAGATCTGGCCCTTCACCTGCAACAGTATGACCATGGACCATACACGACCGGCGCTATCACTTTATCGTGGTGTACTGCAACGGTCCGTTTTTTGGACCGTTCTTTGAAAAATTTGAAAAATTCCTCAAGAGCGCTTAAGATTTAGCAATTTTAATTTTTATTAGCAGTTATTCAGTAAAGTACAAAGTACAAAGTATTTTTAGTACTATATATTTTGAAGTTGAGATATTGTCGAACTTCTGAGATATAGGGTGCTGAAGAACTAAACTACACTGGAAAAAAAGCTAATGCCATGGTCAACAAGATTCTAGCGGACCGGTCTATGATCTCTAGAATATTTTAATATCCATGATGTAACATTATAACAACATCGAAAAATTCTTTTAAACACATAAAGTACATAAGTTCAGCATTGGATCTCAAGTGTGCTACACCGCTTCAATCTTGCTTGCATTCAAGGAATTGTTTATACAACGCGTTGCAACGCTTTGACACAATGGAAACACCAGCCGCCATCTATTTAAGGGTGTCTTCTCATTGGGCAACTTTTTTTTCGATTTTTTTTTTGCATTTATTTATAGCTTGGGATGTTGTGTATATTGCCCCAGAAGGATTTTTAGAAATTCGAAATACTTTCGAAGATACAGCCTTTTTTGTGAAGCAAGGTCTTCGCAAAATGAGCTTTTTTCAAACTTCGAACGCGTTTACCTCGAAACCACGTTTTTCGAACTGGCGGCCATGATATCTCCAGTTCAACTGAACCGATTTTTATGAAACAAAGTGGAATCGACGCAGAATTGTCACCATTCTCGGGTGACGGAACAGATTTTTAAAAATTTTTTTTCTATTTTTTTTTTTACACTAAACTACAAAAAAAAGCCCGAAATCGAAATTTTTTTTAATGGCCGCCATTTTGTTTAAAAAAATGTTAAAAAATATCTGTTCCGTCACCCGAAAATGACATCTATTCTGATTATAACCCCGTTTTTTTTTCATTTCGGACGCTCTGGAGACCCTGAATCGTGGTCGCCAGGACGACACCTTTTTTTCCACCACCAAGTTTGAAGTCTCATTACTCTTTGAACAACCCTCGTATCGAAGCAGAAATAATTTTTTTATTTACTTTGAACATTTTTTAATACAATAAATAAAAAAAGTTTTTCATTATTCTTTGCGTTTTCAAATAAGATTTTTTTTAAAAAGGGTCCCAAAAACGGGTTTTGAATGAGAAGACCCCCTTAAATATGCAGGCAAAGCGACCGACTTTTGGCGAATGTCTCGCAGCCGCATGGTCACATAACTAACTACGAAATGGAAACGGAAGATATTGCTGTATCCATGACCCGAGCATTGCTGGCAAGTTTTTACATCGAAAGTTCGAACCAGAGAGATTTACAGTCCGAATTTAAAGAGTTTACAAGCAGACACTTAACCTGCAACAAGAGCGGTGACCGATGTCACATATGTATCTACCCAATGTACACAGAAGGATGCTGATTAAAAGATAAATGTCTAAAACTGGTGGAGCAGTGCACTGTTGCAGTACCTATGGGATATGTGATCCATAACGGCAACAGTCTTTGGTAAGGGTAATTCGGTGCAAAACTGACCACTTTTTAAAAAAATGTTGTGGCGAAACGGCTAAAGTTAGCTTAATGAATTAAATATCATATAAAGACACAACTTTTGAACCATTTTTTTTAGAGGTCTACGAGTAATCGCGAATCTCCTGAGTCCCCACAAAAAAAGTGGTTTTCGGTGTACATCCCAACTGTCCACAAAAACATCCGATACATATGATCAAAATTTCAAACCGATTGGTTAAGTAGTTTTTAAGTTATTGTGTACACCGATTTTCGAAATGGCATTTTTCAGGAGAGCTCTTTAAACTTTGTGATTCTCATACATTCGTAAATTTTGTTATGATTTACATGTTGGACACAATACTCTTAATACATAAGGTTTGAACTAAATTCTGTAAAATTTTGAACAAAAAATATTCACAAATGAGCCGTTGAGGGAGGGTTGAACTTAACCCTAAAAAAAATTATGTCCTTGCGGTAGGCAGGATTTCTCCGTCCATTTTTATTTGAAATCAAAAAACCAAAATTTTTCTGTTAGCTTATGTGTCTGGCTTGTCTTTACACGAAGGATTTTTTAAAAAGTTAAAAATTGAATTTTTGGGAGCGTTTTTCATGAAAAATGGCACTTTTTACGTCAATTTTGGCCATATTTTGGGTTATAAAATCGGTTCTAATTGAAGATATAAAAAATCCTTCGTTCAGAGATAAGAAAAACATGTCTAGAAGAAGTGTGGAAAATCTGAAGTCGATCGGTCCAGTAGGTTTCGAGAAATCTTGACTACCGACTTCAAGAAAGTGGTTTTGAGAAAAACGCGTTTAAAGTTTTAATTGCCAGTTGTGACTCATACGACGCGCTGGGCTTTAAATTTCTCCCATTCCTACAGTTTTGCTTCGATCGACTTGAAATTTTCGGACAACATTCCTGACACTTTGTACTATTATATAAAAAGGTTTGAAAAAAATTCATTTTTTGAAATTTCAAAACCCGGATAACCCCTTAAGATATTGAGCCTTTAAAAAAAAAAAAAACAAGAAAGGAAGCTTACTTCGGCATGCCGAAGTTTGTATACCCTTGCAGATTGGTTTTGATGTTTATATCATAGATTTAAATACTGAAAACACACACAAAACAGAGTTTCATAACATTTTACCTATACTTATTACGTTTACAGTTTGACGGTTACAGTTTTACATTCCCAGCTTTACATTTTTATACCCTTGCAGGGTATTATAATTTCAGTCAGAAGTTTGCAACGCAGTGAAGGAGACGTTTCCGACCCTATAAAGTATATATATTCTTGATCAGCATCAACAGCCGAGTCGATCTAGCCATGTCCGTCTGTCCGTCTGTCCGTTTCTACGCAAACTAGTCCCTCAGTTTTAAAGCTATCTGAATGAAACTTTGCATATAGTCTTCTATATACTCTCACTGCTATATATGTCGGAACGGTCCAGATCGGACGACTATATCATATAGCTGCCACACAAGTTCGATAAATTTTTAGAAAAAAGATAACTTGGCTGTTTTTCAATATTATTGCATCATTTTTGAGATATAGCCATTTTATATTATTCCAGAATTTTGGTAAAAATTCTATGAAAATCGGACCACTATATCTTATAGCTGCCATAGGAACGATCGGAAAATTAATCGAAAAAAATTATAACTTCGTTGTTTTTCAACGTATTTTAATCTACTTTGTCACATGAGCTTCTGGTATTATTTCAGAATTTTGGTATAAATTTTATGAAAATCAGACGACTATATCTTATAGCTGCCATAGGAACGAAAGGGAAAGTAAAAGAAAAAATTATAACTTCGTTGTGTTTCAACGTATTTTCATCTACTTTAAGACATGAGCTTTTAGTATTATTTCAGAATTTTGGTAACAATATTATGAAAATCGGAGAACTATATTATATATGCCATAGAAGCGATCCGTAGATGTAGGGAAAATGTAAAGCTGGGAATGTATAACTGTAACTTGTAGTGTACAAAACAGGACGAAATAGCCTTCTCGGTCTATAAGGACCTACCAACTATGATCATTCCGTAAAGGTGGTTCTTTAAGACGCTAGGTTCGAGGGTGCGCATTCTCGCTGTGCTCGGGTCCAGCTCGTCGGATGGGGCGGGGTTTTTTCTCCCCTAGCTATCTTTGTTTATAACACAAATCATATAATGCGCGAGATAAACTAAATAAATCGGGCTCTAAAGTGGTAATGAAGAAAAATCAAATAAAGTACAGAATCCGCGCCGCCGCGCGTAATCACCAACTAGAAAAGGAATCCTGCTCGGTTATGGGATCACAGGTGTTATGTGTCCCGTTTCACTAGCCACCCAACCTTGACAACATATCTAAATTTGGCTGTTGCCCCAAAATTAAAGTAAAATTTACCTTTACTTCCTCTTAATAAATCTTGGCATAAGTACTCGACGAACGGAGATAATAATAATTTAAGCGATCATGTTTATGTTCATAATAGTACAAAAAGGTTTCATTTTAATGTCATATTCCCTTAACAAAAACAACTAACAGCTATATTTACATGAAACACTAATTCAATACGAGGTAATTTTGTCAATGACTAAGTAATTAATTGGGCGGAACATCTCATCTCAAATCATCTTATATATATATATATATTATAATATTATACGCATATAAACGCTTACAAATACTCACAATAGCTCTTACTCTCACCGATGTATCATTGGGCCCAAGATGACTCCGATGTAGTTGCTGTATAATTAAGAATTTAGGTTACATATATACATATATAGAGAGAGAAAGATATTTCAACAACTTCCCAATTTCATATTGCTTAGTCTTACATATTAATTTCTTTAAATAATTTATGCGCTAATTCATAGTTTAGAAAAAGAAACAAAGTTTAATACAAATCAGAATCTTCTAATTAATTTTTTTAAGAATTTTATAATGAATCTAACAAGAACAAAACAAAAGAGAATATATATAGATATTTAATTCAGGTTGTCGAAACAATCACATCGCTCGGCCGCTGCAAGGCGTTTTAGTTGTCTCTCATTTATTCTTTCTTAGCTCTTATGCCTCCAAACTCCTACGCAAAAATTTGACTGGTGCAATATGAATTGGGTTTAGGGGTTAGTTACTTAATACTGCGTAACACTGCTGCATCTGCTCGCCGTTTAAGCTGGTATCGGGGTCTAAATTCCGTTTTGGAGCTGAGTCCCAACGATCTTTTCAGCCTCCCAGACCCTTTTCCTAGGCGTAGATTAGGAGCGGCTGCCTCGGCCACTTGAGCGCGATCTTGGTTACGTAATCCCTCAGTCCAAGTGTCGGCACGCCCTGTTTGATCGGATAGCGGGGTGTATGCGGCTATAGCCAAGTTAGAGAGAGTTGACGAAAAGCGCTGTCTAAGCCCTCTGGCCTAAACTAACGGCCGATGCCTGAATAAAAATCAAATTAGAATTTGAACGGCACCTATTTCTGAAACATACCTTCGGCACAGCAACTAGCACTTTTCACTCTGATAGTTCCAATAATATTTCCTTTTATTAATCAGTTTATAAACTTTCATGTAATATTATATAATTGAAAGTTGATCACACGTGTATGTTGAAACCCACTTGCCACGAAAATATATAATGACTTCTATATGGTGTTTATAGCTCGCCGAATATAAATGGAATGATTGCAAGTGAACTTTTTATATTATGCTTAAACTCCCAGAAAATGCGGTTTTAGCTTAAAGCTTTGATATAGCGGTGAAATCGGGTGATGTTCTTGCATTCTTTCATTCCACCTGTTCAAGTGCAAGTGCATTAGCGAGGGTAGTTATAATAGTTTGCTAGCTTAATTGTACCTAAACAGAAGCGTTACCTAAAGTTTTGTTTTTCCAAAAGGTGGATACTACAAACTGTCAAACTGTAAACATAATAAGTATAGGTAAAATGTTATGAAACTCTGTTTAGTGTCTGTTTTCGGCATTATAATTTATAATATAAATATGAAAACAAATCTGCAAGGGTATACAAACTTCGGCGTGCCGAAGTTAGCTTCCTTTCTTGTTTTTTCTACATTTACCGATCGCTTCTATAGCAGCTATATGATATAGTTTTCCGATTTTCATAAAATTTATAACAAAATTCTGAACTAATAAAATAAGCTTATATCTCAGAGTAGATAAAAATAGGTTGAAAAACAACGAATTTATAATGTTTTTTCTATTAATTTCCCGATCGTTCCTATGGCAGCTATATCATATAGTCGTCCGATTTTCATGAAATTTTTAACGAAATTCTGAAATAATATAAAATGGCCATATCTAAAAAATTGTGCAAAAATGTTGATAAACAGCCAACTTATAATTTTTTTTCTAAAAATTTGTCGATCATTTGTATGGGAGCTATATAGTTTGCGTAGAAACGGACAGACGGACATGGCTAGATCGACTCGGCTGTTGATGCTGATCAAGAATATATGTATATACTTTATAGGGTCGGAAAGGTCTCCTTCACTGCGTTGCAAACTTCTGACTGAAATTATAATACCCTGCAAGGGTATAATAAAAAATATTTCGAAAATAAAATAAAATACCTTACACCTCCCCCACCCCTTAATTATTATTATTATTTTTTCGCTCAAGGTGTTTTTATTGTTTCGACTGTTATCGCTTCATAGGATCTTGCAAAAAATTTTCCGGAGAAACCTCTAAAAAAGAAGATAGATCACTTTCAGCGAAAATATAATATTATTATTGTTCTAGCGGTTAAATAACTCCAAAATTAATAATTAAAATTCGTTTTTATAATATATAAATCTTAAAAGAGTGCATTGAAAATTACTATTTACAGTCCCTGATATGAAGTACTGTACACAATTTAACGAACGTTACAATTTATGCCAATTTTATTAAGATTTTGTATTTTGCAATAAAAGATGATCACAAGCAAAACGATTGTCATTGGACGCGAAATATTAATCAAAGTTTTGATATTGTCATTTTTGGAAACCAATTTAAACCAGTGCGCGACGTGTTTTCAGCTGGTCCGCCGGTATAAGCCAATTTCACAAGGCAATAATGCGTTTAGGAGTTATCGATTTTTACTGGTTTGACAATATCTCAAAATACACAACAAAATTTTATGACAATTGCATCACTTGCAAAATGTCCAAAACAACTTCAGCAAAAAATAAAAAATACATCGCATCCAACCCCGAAAGTAAATATTTCTTGGCAGAACGATAAAACAGGGAAATTAAGTGGTACGAGTGACCAGGAGTACGTTATTTTTTAAATGAATGCGTTTACTAAGAATGTCTATCCATGTGATACCCTTAAATTGTACAGTAAAAACTGTATAAATGCTGTTAAATCCACTGTACCATTCAGAGCTTGCAAATAACTGTCGACCGTTTCTCGTTGTCTGCAAAAAAGTGTCTCTCTCTGACTCTTTACGAAAAGACTCAGAGAGCCACCGTTTCATGGGTTCTTGAATGAATCCGTTTTTTTCTATTCTGTTTTTATTTCTGTTGTTCCAAGACCGTTTTGTTGTGTTCAGTGAAGAAAAAAGTCGTTTGCGTATGTATTGGTATACATTCACACGCATAGGCAAGCAAAATATTTGAAAATAAAATTAAATTGTTCTAATAATCAAATTGTATTATGTCTTTGCATATGTATTGCTATACATTCACAAGCAATCGTTTTGCAGACGAAATATATTAATTGCTACAACAACGAAAGTAAATGTGAAGACCGTTTGCGCTGAGTTTTTCGGTCAATCGGTCTTTTGCTGACTCTCTTTACGCACTGCTCATTGAACGACCGAAATTAAAAGAGCTCAACGAAAAGCGCTCAGCAGAAAACAGAAATGAAGACAGCAAAACTCTCTTGCTCAGAGCGAGAGCGAGAGAGTATGACCTTTTTCGGTTGTGCTCGCAACGAGAGCAAAAGAAAAAAAACGGTCGACAGTTATTTGCAAGCTATGGTACCGTTGTTTGGAGTACTAAACCGAACAATAGGTCACCAAGGAAGGTGTTTTACGGAAGCAAAGTTTACCCAATTCTGTTCGGATCATAAAATAATCTTTCACTTGATTGCCACCGGGACTAGTCGAGCTTATGGCAAAATATGCTAAAGGCGGCTGAAACTGAATCGCAGTCTTAGCAGGATGAGGAGAAGTGCGGTTGGCAATCAATTGTACAACTAATCGTGTGACAAAGGCAGGTCCCTTAGCAATGTTATTGGAAAGGTAAAACGCGTTTAGGTTTACTTCCATCCTAGTGACATTGAAAATTTGTTGATTTGTCAATCGTAAGAGAACAAGCTGAAAATAATGTTTTGATACTGCAGTTTATGACAAAGAACGATTTAATGAAAATAATGCAAAAATAGAAAGACAACAGTGGGAGATTTTGTATTACTTAAAGGAAGGAATGAAGTCCAAAGTTCAAGAGGCCCTTTAAAATAACAAAAATGTTTAAATCCTTAACCAATAAATCAAAATACAAATATGCGCATGAGAATTTCCCAGAATGGGAAGTGGCTGAGGAGCTGAATGTATGTAGTGAAATACCATTTAGTAAACCCCCAAAGAAATGTATACGTAAATATTTTCTAGGAATATTAAAAATCTAATATATTTCAATATATTCACTTCTGTATAACAAAACAATAAATTTAATTATAACTAACAAATACAAGAGATACATACAATTACAGAAAATATTACGTTCAACTGCTGAAGATGTACCACCAAAATAATTCTTTGTTTTAGTTATTGTTGTTGTTTCGTAGCACAAACGGAAACTAACTAGTAACTGGTTTTCTCAGAAAAACTACATGTTGATAATTCATAAGAAATGTTATATATTAAACAAAAAAAAAAAAAAAAACGAAAAGTTAAGCAGTTAAGTTAAGCATTTTGCTGACAAAAACACGTTTTTTGATCATTTCTCCTCTGCTTAAATGTCCGATGGCGATACTTTTCTGTCCGTCCCACGAGGACAATAATAGTCTCGCTAATCGTCCGTTTTAGCGTCCGTTTTCCAGTCAGATTTCGGTAATTATGAAAACCTCTTGAGGTTCAATTTAGCATCCATTTTTGAGCACCGAACCTAATGCGGAGAGTCCGATTCTTTGTCCGTATTTAACAGCAGTAGCGGACTTCTTCGGAATCATCCTATTACGTCCGCTTGTTTGCCCACTGGGTAGTTACGGAATAAACACTATTTAAGATCGTGTTTTAATACTGGAAAAGCTTTCTTCCCTCTTATTTCATTTACATTTACCTACCTTTACATCTTTTTCCAGATGGCTACAGCATTGAAGATCTGTGCCCTCTTTCTGGAATGACTGGTCCAGAAATCCGGGGCAAGGCGAAACACCTGCTACGCGGCTCCATATTTGGATCATCTTCTCTAAAGGTGCCGGCAAATCGCTACGTAAATAATGGGCACGGTTATGGTCTTGCAATAGCAATGCCATCTACCAGCGTTGGAACAAGTGAAACTGTCGCCGAGTCGGCAGCTGGAACATCTGTGTCAATTGTTGAAGTGCAAAGTGCCGACGATACCAGTGACAGCTCTTCCGAAAACTGCATGTGGCCCAATGCTTTACAGGTAATTAATGGGAAATGAGATTGTTTATAGCCTTAATGCCTTCTAATGTAGTTTGTAATTATTAGAGGTTTTAGTAGAACCATTTTCCGGTTTTCACTTTTCGTTTTCGGTTTTATCAAAATCGTGTAAATTGCAATTGTTTTGTTATCGGCATATTTAATATTTTGTAATTTTTAAGCAGTTGGAGTAGTTTCTTTCAAGAGTTGGCAGAATGTTTGAAATGTGTTTTTGTTTTTAAATTGTTCGTTTAGGAGCAAAATAAAGGCAGCAATTGCTTAATTCGTGCATTTGTTTACAGTGGTCTCAATTAAATTTTAACTGCTCTTTTATCATTTACTTAATACAATTAAATTTATATGTTTATAAAAACCGTTCAAAGCGACGGCGAGTATCCTTCCAGCTTTCAATTGAATTTTTGTCAAATAAAAAAAATATATATGTATATAGCAAGGTTTATTTAATAAATAATAATAAATAATAACAATAATAAACTTTATTATAAATTTTCGAAAAGTATAATTTTTGAAATAAGTAAATAAATAAAATAATTCCATTTCAGATTTGAAATATCTAATATAACTTACATTTTAAATATATACGCTGAACAAAAACAACATTTATAATAACATGTTTACAGTTTTAAAGTCACCGTTTTACATTTATAGCCTTGCATTTTGGTCTACATCTTTAGACCGTTCCTATGCCAGCTATATGATACAGTAGTCCGATTTTCATATGTCCGTTTCGACATATAAAAATTAAGTAGTGAGAGTAGACAGAAATCCATCTGCAAACTTTTATTGAGCTTCAAAACTGAGGGACTAGTTTGCGTAGAAGAGGACAGACGGGCATGACTAGATCGACTCGACTGTTGATGCTTATCTAAACTTCTGACTAAAATTATAATACCCTGGAAGGGTGTATTCGACTTAAAAATAATGTAACATACATCTTTTATATATGTATCTACCCTAAATGTCATTATAATAGGATGATTGTGGATATCGCATGAACAGAACATTAAGGTTAATTCGGTGCAAAAATGCCCACTTTTCAAAAAACTGTTGTGGCAAACCGACTAAATTTAGCTTAATGAATTAAATACCATTTAATAGCGCAACATTTTAACAATATTTGATAAATTTTTTTTTTTTGTATTGAGAAATATTTAGAGGTATAGGAGTTACAGGGAATCTCCTGAGTCACCTCAAAAAAAATTTGGTTTGCGGTGTACATCCTAACTGCCCACAGAATCATCCGATCTAAAAAAATTATACCTCATTCGGTAAGGGATAAGTGTCCCGAGGTATTCACAAAGCGTTTTTATTTTTAATTTTTTTTCCCGATTTTTTATAAAAATTGGAAGTCAAAACCCCGATTTTTGACTAAAAAATTAAGTTAATTAGTTAAATAAAAAACATAATAATATTAAAAATTAAAAAAAGCTCGTCGTGAGTACCTGTAGAATTACCTAAAGAAGTTATGTTCCAAATTTCAAACCGATTGGTTCAGTAGATTTTGAGCAGAGCTTGCAAATAACTTTCGACCGTTTCTCGTTGTCTGCAAATAAGTGTCTCTCTCTGACTCTTTAGGAAAAGACTCAGAGAGCAACCGTTTCATGGATTCTTGAATGAGCTCGCTCGCGCTCAGAGCGAAACCGTTTTTTTCTATTCTGTGTTGTTCCAAGACCGTTTTGTCGTGTTCAGTGAAGAAACAAGTCTTTGCTTAGGTATTGGTATACATTCACACGCATAAGCAAAAATATTTGAAATTAAAATTAAATTGTTCTATTAATGAAATTGTATTATTTCTTTGCATATGTGTTGGTATACATTTACAAGCGTTCGTTTTTCAGACGAAATATATTAATTGCAACTTCAACGAAAGTAAATGTGAAGACCGTTTTCGCTGAGTTTTTCGGTCAATCGGTCTTTTGCTGACTCTCTTTGCGCGAGCGGTCCTCGTTCCGCTCTTTACGCACTGCTCATTGAACGACCGAAATAAAAAGAGCTCAACGAAAAGCGCTCAACAGAAAACAAAAATGAAGACAGCAAAACTGTCTTGATCAGAGTGAGAGCAACGGGAGCACAAGAAAAAACACGTTAGACAGTTATTTGTAAGCTCTGATTTTGAGTTATCGTGTACACCGATTTTCAAAATGGCATTTTTCAGGAGAGCGCTTTAAACTTTGTTATTCTCATACATTAAACACCAGACGACCTTTGTTCAACTCTGTATAACTTCGTCAATTCTTATATGATCGATGTAAAACTTGGACACAATTCTTAAGATGTTGAACTTTAAAAATAAAAAATAAAAAAAAAATTAAATACCTTACCCCCCCCCCCCTTAAAATCTAAACACGGTTTGTTTGGCGATAGTTAGGCGATAGTTTTTCGGTGCAACTCTGATTCTTCTTCTTAATTTGACCATTCACCACGAAAATGTAAACAAATTGGCGAGGAACAAATGAGATATGGAATTTAAAACGTGGCGCCAAAGCTACAAGCATGCCCAAAATAGTTGTTGGCGTTTTTTCTGTATATTCTTGCCCCAATATGTCCCCAATTGTTACTATTTAATATAAACCGCCTACCTCTACCTTATTTTAAAGATTTTGGATGCCTATACCACCTATAGACACTCTTCGGGGAATTTCATTTAATTCATTTAAATTTACTGCGGATAAATTCTGACGCAATCTTTGCCTTTTGCTGTTGTACAACAGCCAAAATAGTTGGTAAATGCTCCATTTCAAATTTGCAACTGCCAATTCGACAGCCTTTGTTTACGTTTTCATGAGCCACAGCTGATCGATCAGCTGTTCGGATGCTAAATGCGCTTTAATGTTGTGTGGGAACACGAGTTTCACATTTGTGAAAAATCCCAAACGTTCCTCACAAATGTGCTGTGTGGGAAGACAGTATTAGATTAAATATTCTATATAATATAAATTATAAGTACATGTCGGAAAGTTGGTTGCTAAGTGCAAATTTGAAATGCTTGTTGCCTTGGCAACAGAATTATTCGGCATGCTCAGGTATTGGTAGCCCTGTAGGTGTCGCTGGCGCGCAGGCGCAATGACAGTTGAGTCGGTAACAGGACAAGGACAGAAGACTGTCTGTTACTGAGTGAGGTCTGTTCGTCTGTCGCACAATAGGAGAGAGTGAGAGAGACAGCTTGAGATTGTCTAGGATTGACGTCTGAGCGAAAAGTAAGAAAAGGTGAAAGGGCCACAGGAAAAGTGGCGTGATGACAGATACGATTTGACTGCGCAGGCGAACAAAATTCGCTGGCTCGACTACGGGTGAAATTAAGTAACGGTTATCTCCGACATACATATATATTTTGAGAAAAGGGGAATGTGAACTTTCACTGATCATTGATGGCATCGCTGTTTTCTTCTACCTCATATATTTTATTTCAATTTTCAAAGTTTCAATACCCAATTTTTTCTATTTGTTCTGTTCTATTTTTCTGCTTAGGGCGCGAGGGCGAGACATCGCCTACATATACAGAAATTCTACTAAAACGTTTTCTCTTTTATTTCCGTGCTTTTAGTACTCCTTGCTGCAGACGGTAGTCGAGGCCTGCCAGAAGAAGAAGCATTGCAAGTTTCACGGATCCCCGCAGTTCTATGGACAGGGCGCCAGTGGAGTGGGTGACAGTTCCGGAACTAGTAGCTATCATAGCAGCACGGCCAGCTCCAATGGAATCAGCAGTGACCCATGCCCAAAACGCAGGAAAATTGTGGAAGTTGCCTACAAATGCCGTCCGTGTAAGTCAGTCCCAACAACAACATATCAGGGGTTGTTGCTTTTTTTTAAACTGCAGTTGGCTCTAATTTGGCGGACCATGTAAATGGTGACTCTTGGACCAGTGCTTCCGATGAATTCAAAGTATTTTACCTCTAACAGCAATCTTTCAGAATCATATAAAAGTCCAACTGAAAAAGTTAAAACTTGTGGGTTGGGACCTGGGAACCGCACTCATCGTGATCCAAGAAAATGTTCCCACTGTTCTATCCGACAGCAACCAAGTGAATGGAGGGATTTGGCACGACGTAAAGGGGCCTTGCCAGCGTATCAAGTTGAGAGGTTTTTCCGTCCGTTTTTTTTTTTATCCAGTCAGGTGGAATAAGAGAGAAATTTTGATAACTCGGCAAGCAGGGCCAACTCAAATACAAAGCATTTAATCATTTTAATATAACCAAATCGTATAAAATAACTATTTTTTAAATTTGAATTTCTACTATAATATAAATTTTAAATATATACGAGGAAAAAAAACTAAAGTAATGTCAACTTTCATAAACTAACCTTACATATTCAGGCCTGCTCCGGTAATCGAAAACGGCAAGATTTTTTCGTTTTCGTTTTTGAAAACGGGAAATTGGTGCTCTGGTAATCGAAAACGAAAGATTTTTTCGATTTGAAAACGGGCACCTTTTTCTGGCCGGAATGAAAAGTAAATGGCTTTTTTTATATGAAATCAGATCTTATTTACAAAAGGAAAAAAATAGTTTACTCGGTGGTCTATTGATGTTTATTCCACACCACCACAAGATCATTCTGGCAGGTAGTTATTTTATAAAAAATTTATTTCTGACCCCTCCTCAGATTTGACAACAAAATTTTTGCCGTGTTCAACCAGTTTTCTCGTTTTGGCGATAGGCCGATAAGTTTACCGCAAAAAGATATCGCCAAGGTTGCCATATTGTTGGTGGAACGAAACAGCCAGTTAAAAATACTTATAAAATATAAATGAATACATTAATAACTTTAAAGGACCGCCAAAATGGTTGTTTATAATTAATGCTATTTAATGTGATTACTTAAATGGTCCAAATTAACCAAATAATTATTTGAGACCACCGGAATTAAAACTGTGAAAAGTGTGGCAGCATCTTAGGTGCCTGGATTTGCTTAATTCTACAATTTTTTTGCCTTTTTCTGGCTTAGAAAAAGGGCAATTGTAAATATAATAGGCAGTACTTTACGTTGTTTGCTTATTACCAACAACACAAGTTAGCTGCTTGAGCAGTGAGAAACGATGAGAAAACGAAACATCCGATAGCAGAAATTTGCCGAAAACCGGAGCAGCTAAAAACGAAAACGGTTCGTTTTCGCCCAAAACAAAATCGAAAAAATTTTACGATTAAGCCTAGTACTCTGACGAGAAAAACCCGTCCGATCTGCCCTTGCAGATTGGTTTTGATATTTATACCCTTGCAGGGTATTATAATTTCAGTCAGAAGTTTGCAACGCAGTGAAGGAGACCTTTCCGACCCTATAAAGTATATATATTCTTAATCAGCATCAACAGCCGAGTCGATCTAGCCATGTCCGTCTGTCCGTCCGTCTGTCCGTCTGTCCGTTTCTACGCAAACTAGTCCCTCAGTTTTAAAGCTATCTGAATGAAACTTACGGGCCGGATCGGACGACTATATCATATAGCTGCCATATAAATGATCGATAAATTTTTAGAAAAAAAATTATAACTTGGCAGTTTTTCAACATTTTTGCATCATTTTTGAGATATAGCTAATTTATATTATTTCAAATTTTCGGTTTTAATTTTATGAAAATCGGACTACTATATCTTATAGCTGTAGACATGAGCTTCTGGTATTATTTCAGAATTTTGGTATAAATTTTATGAAAATCGGACGACTATATCTTATAGCTGCCATAGGAACAATAGGGAAAGTAATAGAAAAAATTATAACTTCGTTGTTTTTCAACGTATTTTCATCTACTTTGAGACATGAGCTTTAAGAATTATTTCAGAATTTTGGTAACAATATTATGAAAATCGGACAGCTATATCATATAGCTGCTATAGAAGCGATCTGTAGATGTAGAGAAAATGTAAAGCTGGGAATGTATAACTTTAACTGTCAAATATAGGTAAAATGTTATGAAACTCTATTTAGTGTCTGTTTTCGGCAATATAATTTATAATATAAATATGAAAACCAATCTGCAAGGGTATACAAACTTCGACGTGCCGAAGTTAGCTTCCTTTCTCGTTAAACATATTATATTAGATATTTTAAACCGAAAATATAGTTTTATTAAAATACCTCTTTTATATATCGACTCGATTATTGTTGTTGAACAAGAATATTAACACTTTATGCGTTGCAAACTTCTGCCTAAAATTATAAACCTAACATATACAAATAAAAATTTCGTCGGAGTGAAGAAATACATATGTCTAATTTTGAATCACCCCATCGCGATGGGGTAAACGATGCATCGTGTACACTCAGACCCACGTCTTGGGTTTAGTAAGTTAGTTAGTCAGATAAATAAAATGCTGTTTATTTATTTTAGATCCTGAAAGGGCGATATATGTAAATATCTAAACGATTTTATTTTAAAACATCTTTTCTTGAGAGAATTCATGAGAATTGAATCTTGGGTAGGCCTACGTAGAGCCTGCGTAAATACCACTGCCTTAACGCTCCCAAACATGGTTATCTCTGAACGTCGAGAACTTTATTGCGATCTTCCACCAAGGAAGGCGGGAAAACCCCTAATTAGGCTTTAGTTGACAGGCTACTGTTTTGATAGGCAAGCAGGCTTTTGTAAACGATCGGGAAATTTTCATTAAAATGTTATTGATTTTATTGTTCATTATTTTAGGTTTGGTCCAGAAAGACAAACATTTCAATATTATAGAAAGAGTTAAACATTTTTTCAGATGAGTTTCGCAGTAAAGTGGCGTGCCACAACGATGTTGCTCAACTGGAGTGTAATCCGTACTCCCGAATTGCCGTATACAGCGCCAGCTTTGGCAGAACTGAGTACGAGAGCATCCAATGCCCCCAGCCACAGGGCGTTCGAGAAGAAAGTAAGTCTTGGAGAAGGATATAAATTACATTCTCCGTAGCTCTCAAATTTAACGTACACCGATTTTTTAATTACTTCTCCTAAAGCGTGCCTGGCCTCATTTGCCACGGAAACTGTGATGCAAATTTGCCATGGAAGACGGCGATGCAACCTGGCTGCAGACGCTAATACCTTTGGAAGTCCATGCCAGGCAAATTCCCGGATGTACTTGAAGGTTGTTTATACATGCGGTAAGTGGGTCATTGAAACTGAGGGGTGAATGATATAGCTGGGGAATGCCTCGCTGGCCGATTCCTGTTAGATTTATAAGCGTTTTTCAAGTGGGACCACTCCGTTTCTTATCCCTAATTAGTGCCAAAGCAAGTGCTCAAAGAAAGTAACGAATCGGAAGTGGAGACAGACGAATCTGAGGACTTCGAGGGCGATATGAACGACCTTTACGATGACGAACTGATCTACAAAGAGTCGGAGGCAATTCCAAAGCTGTACAGCAATGCAACAACGCTAGGACGCCGGAATATTACCAACGGACTTGCTCAGGGAAATGGCCCTAGTCCGTCTGGCAATCAGACCATAACGAACAGCTCCCTCGTCGCAGATGTGGATAGTAATGACGTGAATCCTGTGATGACACATAGCGCAGACTTAAGTCTGGAGGGTAAGATATATTTACAATTAAGCTGTATAAAACCAATGCTTTGTCTCCCTGCGTTTTAAAGTGTTCTTCCTTGTCCCTTTGGAGAAGTGGACCAAATAGTTTTTTCACTCCTTTTTATGCTTCTAATTTGACTTTTTTAATACATTAACAGATGACCAAGAGCGTTTATATTTGTACCTGCTTATTGTGGGCTCTCTCGGGGTTGTCTTTTCGATAGTGATTGTCGCCATTAGATTGGTCCTTCAAAAGCGCCGGGGTCTAACTACTGACACGCACTCAAACTCCTCGACCAAGGGTGGTGGAGTTTCAGGAGGTTTAGTTGAAGAGACAACTATTCCGAGCGGCTTTAACGACACAATTTCAGAAATAGACGGTGAGATCGACCTGACAACCCCACTGCCTTTGCCAAGCTTGTCCCAGAACGAGGTAAGTAATTTAAAACTAGGTCCCTTTCTGTTCATCTACTTACCCTGTCTGCTGATGCCTATTTAGAACTACTTGACATACGCGCCGGCGAGCAGCTTATACGCTGGTTTATCCCCATCTCAGCTAACGGCTGGGACTAGCTCAGGGCCCGTCTCCGGCCTGATGGCAAATTCGGTTTTGGCGGGGGCTCAACAGTCACCCGACATTATAGGTCTGTCCCCCACTCCGGGAGCATTTGTAGCCACCAGCATCGCCAGTGCGGGCCAGGGCCCAGTGGCGGGAATCCTGGCCTCCGCTATTGTAATTGGTTCCAGTGCTCCCCGAAGCAGTGCCATAAGTAAGTAAATCGTCAGCCAGTATGGGCTCTGATTCCAATTTCAATTTCCCTCAAAAGGTACCATGGTACCCATTTCCTCACTAGCTCAATACACAACAGCGCCGACTATCAGGGGAGGATATATCATAAACACTGAAGGCATGGGGCTTCAGCGGCCAAGTAACTCTCCGACGCCGCCAACCTCCATGGCCGGAGGTTCTCCAGCACATCCGCCCACTCATACGCTTCCGTTGCCCTCTCCATTGGCCATGGCCCCACTGGGCCATGTTTCAATTCCCATGACTGTTGGTGGCGGCACCTCGACGTTGCGCCGCACAAAGGCACCGTTACTGCAGACGCAGCTTTCTTACGATGGCACCGCTCCACGCACACTATCCACCGGCGTGGCTGTGGGCTCGCAGTTCTACTACGGATGACAGAACACGTTGGACTATGAGCCACATGTATATACCGCTTCCATGTGCGGACCCACGGACCCACCTAGTGTTGGCCCTCTACCGGTTGAAGCTCTAGATCGAGAAAGTAGTTGCGACGTGTTTTTCGGGCCTTAGTCATTACAGACACTACACAAAAGCCCTACAAGGCTCGAGGAGAATTGCCAACAAAGGACAATACAAGGATAACTCTAGCCTGCTCTTAACACTTCCAGGCAATTCCAAGATCCAATCTGATTCCCAGGACTCCCAGTCCCCTGAGTCAAAAGAAGAGGCTGACTTTAAGCACGGATACGTTTCGGTAATCAGCAATCTGTGTAAATATGTAACGAAGAAGTCTTCTTTTTATGTATATAATTTTTGTATTGAAGTGGAACAGCAGTAGAAATATAATTGGTTTTTGTCTAAGTCGAGATTCTTTGTTTATCTGCCAGATTGGCTTCTCCTTAAAAATAGCTGTATATCTGAGAGTAGTTAGATAGTCCTAGTTTCATAACGATTTTTTAAATCATTCCATTTAACATAGATTGCCTATCAATGGGATTATATAGAAAAGGGCGAAGGGGTAAGTTGATAGATAGCATTGGACAGACAGTAAAAATGAATAGGGGTCCGTCAAAGATATGGTTCAACGGCTTATTTGTACAAATTATAGAACCAAGTCTTCAGTCGGAAACGCAACACAAATTATCGCAAATGTGAAATATAAGAATGCCGTCACATTCGCGATGATTCGACGTAGAAGACATGTAGCCGCCTTTCCCACGTTCTGGCAATCCAGTTAGAGATATTCACAACTCCTTACTGTGTGCTTCAGATAAGTGCTTTACAAATATATGAGAGCAATTAATATCCGACGTTACTGGCTTTAGTAGGCCCAGGGCAGGCCAAAAGGTAATGGCTTGTGCATACGTGCCGAGGTGAATCGTTGGACCCCCGAAAGAGTTTCTGAATGTGCGAAACTGGCAAAGATGAGTAAAAATGTGGAAGTGACCCGGTTGAAGTAAAATAGCATTGTCGGCAATCGATGTTTGGGGGTGTCTGACTCAGTGTACTTCAAAGAAAGCTAAATTAGTCTCTGTGTTATTTAACATTCTAGCTCATTTTGTTACCTACATTCATATGTCTATTGATAATTAATGTTTAGTTTTATGGCATTTACATTTTAATTTTGTTGAACTTCTCATACTGTTTGGTTTCAGTTCTAATTTTAAATGTCAAGTGCCTTTCTTAATAGCATTTAAGTGAGTGCTGCGTAATTTGAATCGTGACTCCTCGAAGAGAGCAGTACAATTTCGTGTATATAAATATATAAAACTTGTAAACCAATAAAAACAAGCAAGTATATTAAGCCAAAATGTGACTATTTCTAGGGTAATAGTCATAATATTGTAGTGAATAATAACCTGTAGCTAAATTCAAGATTACAGGTAAAGTTTTCGTTAAGCTGTCCTAATACTGTGGGTAAAATATTAGATAATGTTTTAATACTGAAACAGTCTGGTACTATAAAACACTAGAGAACCGCAAGTGGATGTGCAACGCCCCTCCCTATAAGAACGTAATTATGCAATTGTAAATAAATGATCCATATTTGGCCAGAATTATAGTATAAAGTAATCCATTATCAATAACTTGTAGCCGTGTACAAAGATGTTAACGAAAACATGAAATATGCAAGTTCAAAAATAAATGCTGGCACATTAATCAAACCAATCCATTTTCTGCGTAGCTAAGCAGGAGGTAGTGCTCATTGAATTATAAAACTACCTAAAGTTAGAAAATAAACTTGATAGAACCCCCAAACAATGTATACAAAAAAAAAAAAATATTTATATATATATATATATATATATATATATATATTATTTAAGAAAAACTGTGCAACTCTTTAAGTTATATTTTTCTCTTATATATGTCATGTCAATTTTATAAGTTTCATTTTCATAAAATCAATAAATGAAATAATACCTTGAAGTATAACTATTTATTGTATTGGATTTGAGCTTCGGTAAGTACTATTAGATTGACAACTAGAAATAGTTACTTTGGTCACTTTGAAACAATAAAAAAAATAGTTATCTTGTTTTCTCTGAGCTACATATACATATATATATACACATATATATATATATATATATATATATTATATATATATATACACATATATATATATATATATTATATATTTCGAGTTTATATTGTATTAGATATTTCAAATCCAAAATAAAGTTATTTTAATCGATTTAAACTTTAAATTAAAATTAATTTTTTTAAATAAATAATAAATGTATATACATTTTATATATCTCCTGACAGTTTTTGTTTGACCAAAATAAATCTATTCTTAAAAGCTTCCTTTCCTATTTTTTTATGCGATTAAATATATGTATATAGTATGTACATATGTATATATACATATGTATTATTGATTTAAAACTAATAATTAAAATAAAATTGAGAATTCTCATAAATGAAATTGGAGTTTGGTAAAGGTAAATCCTAAAACTTAGCAATTGTTCTTGCAAATGACAATTCGGTCAAACAAATAATACTGGAGTTAATATTTTAGCTATGTACCTATAGCTAATATATATATATATTTCAAAACTAAAAAAATTATTTACTTAAAGGCGTCCTGCTTTCCCAACAATTTCTCAGGCCGTCAAAATAAAACAAAATTGCAGAACTAAGAAACGGAATAAACTTCTTCAATAGTTTGAGATGCGCTGAACTCAAAAGGTTTTTAAGATATTCTATCATAAAAGGTCAACTAAAATACAGTTTTTGGTACTTTTGAGGTGCTGTAACTTCAATATGATTAATTTTATTATGCTATCAGAAAGTACTGTTCTTGACCTGAACTTTTATTTTTATTTTAAAAAATTTTTATGGATTTTCGAGATACTATCTTTTATATATATTGTCAAATTCGACACACTCAGTATTAGTATGAAAATGAAAGGAAGCAAACTTCGGCACGCCGAACTTTGTATACCCTTGCAGTTCGGTCCCTGTTGGTCAAATTAATAGAAAAAAAAACGAAATATATTTAAGTTGAATATTTATACATAGCATACATATAAAAATTTGGTTGTGATAAAGGCATATCATTAAAAAACACTCCTTATCCGGTCTGAGGTAAGGATATGGATTTAAAATGGCAGATTTTGGCTATTCTTAATTAATAAATAAATTTAAAAAAAAAATAAAAAAGAGAAAGTTTAATCGTATTAAAAAATATATGCATTTTATCATCATTTCTATGGCAGCTATATGATATAGTCGTCCGATCCGGCCCGTTCCGACATATAAAGCAGTTTAGCATTCAGATAGCTTTAAAACTGAGGGACTAGTTTGCGTAGAAACGGACAGACGAACAGACGAACAGACGGACAGATGGACAGATGGGCAGACGGACAGACGGACATAGCTAGATCTACTCGGCTGTTGATGCTGATCAAGAATATATATACTTTATAGGGTCGGAAAGGTCTCCTTCACTGCGTTTCAAACTTCTGACTTAAATTATAATACCCTGCAAGGGTATAAAAATAGGGATATAAATGAAAGAGACTAAATCTCGAAAACCAATAATAATATTTGTAAATTTTAAAAACGTATTATTAAGGGCAAGAACAAAATATATTGAAGTTACAGCACCTCAAAAGTACCCTAATACCGTATTTTCTGCCATTTCAAATTCAAAAATTTTGAAAACCTGACGTAAAGGAAATTGTCTGAGCAAATAAAAAACTATCGGACTATTGGTTTTAAAAAGCTGGCGCCCTGTATTATTTCTGCTATCTTTCACTGCAAAAGCGTAATATTCTCTTGAGTGGCGGTGTTTTTACGGTCGGAGAATGCGACTATAACGTTTTTACTTGTTTCTTTATGTTATATTGAATCCCTTTTTTATTTTCTTTTTTATATCTGCAGTGCAAAGTTAAAATGGCCCTTAGTCGAAAGCTGTAAAGAGCAAAGCGGTCAGTCAACATGAAAAAATTTCAGGCAACGCAAACACAGCTGAAGTGTAAGGCCACTTCATTGTAAAACAAGAGTTTTTTAAGAATGGAATTTCAAAGAAAATATTTCTATCCAGACACATAGGACGAGGGACTACTGGAATTCCATGTATGCTACTTATTTCTAACCCTGTGAGTGCGAGAGATATGCCTATACTATTTCGATTGCCTGTTTATACGATTATGATACTAACGCATTTATTTTTTTATTTATTTAAAAAAGCTTTAAGCTTAGATTACCTATCTGTTTATTAAGTCAATAGCTAAATTTATATACATATTTAAAGTTTTTTGTATTGTTTTTTTTTCGGAGCTTTAATTTTCTTATGAACTCATTTTTTGTTTATGTTTCCTGCGGATGGGCATCCTAGGGCCTTGTGAAGTCAGCTGAGGCCTAAAAAAAGGAGCCTCTAATGATGGCCAGTCCAGAGCAATCGTTCAAAATATGGTCGATGTTCGGGAGACCACCGCAGAGACTCCAAATTGGGTTTTTACTGCCTTTTAGTAAGTGCTTTTTGGTTTTGTTGAGTGTGTCCTTTAAGAAGTCGGATAAAGGTGCTGCACTGGTGCCTCCCGATCGCAGCTGGGAGAGATATTTTTGTGCATGTAGGGTTAAATGACCGTATCTATGGTAGAAAGTGTTCCATTCCTCCGTCTTTTAATTTTCAAAGTAGCGGTTTATTAGTTTGTAGATGTCCTTGCAGTTTATGGGAGTAAATGTGAAGGTTGGTGGCTAGAAATCCAGAAGAAGGTGATTTTTTTTTAGACCTGTGTGCTTATCCTTCGTTTCTCCCGTATCGCGATATTCGGGATTGTTTATTGCCAGGAGGGAAGACAGACTGTCGGTGCACACAACGAATGCCCCCTTGTTATTGGTGGCAGAGCGGCAGGCTAATAGTATAGCAGTAGCTTCTGCTACAAATATGGAGTTGTAGTGTGGGAGGGTCCCCCCCGCCATGATTGAGTTGTTTGCATCAACGACAGCGAATGTGGTTGAATAATTTTTCAATTAAAAAAAAGCGTGACAATTGGTTATGTAGTTTTTGTGTAATTGTACATGAAAGTCGAATATTTTACCGATTTTATTTATATTTCCTACTCTTTTTGAATGTCCTTTTGAAGTCGTCGGCCAATATCCGATTCGGAGTGGTGTACAATTTAGGGATGAGCCGTGAAGCCGTTTCTTGTATCCTAGTGGGGATACGGAGTCCGGACTCCGCTAGTATGCACTTAATCAGAGATGTCGGAAAGGCGTAGATTGATCTGCGTGCTGCTGCGTAATTGTGTTTGCGGCATATGTGAAGGATCTGGCATTTCTCAATGAAAATTGATGCCAAGGATTAGGTATCCCATTGCTCCAGCTCTTCCAAAACTTCAGAAAATTAATT